CCAAGACAGTCATCCAGGAGTGGGGCTGGAGTTGCTGAGCAGATTCCCCAGGGGGCACTCGCAGGCGGGCAGTGGCCTGAGGCCCCTAGGCAAGGCTAAGCAAGGTGGTAGAATGAGAGACTGGCATAGAAACACAGTTAGGAGGAGGGACTCAAGATTTGCATTCTGGGGCTGGGGATTTAGCTAAGTAGCATAAGTGCCACCTTGCAAGCACGTGGTTGTGAGTTCGATCCCTGGTATTGATTTAAAAAAAAAGATTTGCATTCCATTTTACCAGCTATGTGACCTGGGCGAAGTTATGTTATTCTACATCATAGGGTTGGTAGGAGATCCAAGTGGAATGATCTAAGCAAAGCTCTGGTGCTCTTTGGGGTATGGTTGTTGTCCTTAAGCAACCAATTTCAGGGGGATGGAGCAGCACAGCAGAATGGTGCAATGCAGCCTCTGGAAGAAACTTGCTTGGCACAGCTGTCCCACCTGGCTGGGTGAGCTACATGGCCTGAGCAATTTATTGAACCTATGTCTACGCTGCCCCACTTTGAAAACAGGAGGTAGTGAGAACAGTTCCTTCCTTAGAAGGTTTTTTTGTTTTGTTTTGTTTTTTGTTTTTTTGAGAAAGGGTCTTGCTATGCAATTCAGGCTGGCCTTGAGTGCACTTCGTAACCCAGGATGGTTTCAAATTTGTAACAATCCTCCTGCCCCAGCCTTCTGAGTGCTGGGATTACAGGAGTGCACCACCATGCCTGACTCCTCAGAAGGCTTTTGTTGGAGCTAACTGTGCTACTGCACATGAAGTGTTTAGCAAAGTGCTTGGCTCATACTAAATTCTCAGTAACTGTCCGTGTTACTACTTCCTGGTTTATAAAGGTTCCTTGGAGGCAAAGGGGACCTCTATTTATTTAAGGAAACTTTGAATCTATAACATTTTCTGCTTTCAGTTTTTAGGATGTTCATTCCTGCATTTTAAAACAGAAGATAGTGATCTTTATCTGTTCCTTGAAGACCAAAAAACATTTCCATACCTTTTAGAAACTCCAGCCCCTTGCAGGCCCTTCTCCCCCACACTGTAGAAGAATGGGGAAGATTCTTGGGGACCATGTGCCTAAACACTGGTTTCCGGTCAGGACAAACTGACCCCAGCACTTCTAATAGAGGCACCGGAGGCCAATTCCCAGCACAAGGATCCAGACCATGTGGCCCCATCAGCTTGGTGAGGAGTTCAAGGCCTCAAACCATGATTTGCTTTGATACTTCAGGGGAAACTAAAAGCAGTCCTCTAAAGACAAGAGGAAGCTCCCAGGTTTGGGACAAATTTTTTAATTGTTAAAATCTATTCTTTTACCTTGTTCCCCAGTAAACTGAGTGTAAAGAACAAGGGTCTAGTCTTCCCACTGTGACTCAGTGAGGTTTGCTATTACCAGAGGACAAAGGCTAGACTGAGGGGAGAAGAGCATCCTAAAGAGGCTGGTCTCTCTTTTTGTTTACTTTTCCAATTCTTATTCTCCCTTGAAGGAGAACGAATGATAATTAAACACATGCTCCACAAAACCTCCAATGTCAGTATTGTTCTTGGAAGGAAAGACTCCAGGTACTAAACAAAGAACTCCTAACTACTGACCCTTAACTCTTACAAAGGCAGAGATAACAAGAGAAGGAGGATGGCTGGGGAGGGGAGCAGGGGAGGTAAATCACAAGGAGAAACAGAGGAAGAGGAGTGGAAGGAAACATCCCTAAACATTTAACAGTAAGGAAGCAGTCCTGGGCACAAGAGTGGGCCTGCAGATAAAGCATCACAAGCTGTACCGTCCCTGCGCTCCCTTCCCCCAGCCAGACCTGGATTTACCCTACAAATTCAAATGCTCAGAATCACAGACTTTGAGAGCAGATACAATTTTTATTTATTTATTTTTATTTTTTATTTTTTTGGACAAGGCCTCTCTATGCAGTTCAGGCTGGCCTTGAGCTCACTTTGTAACCCAGGTTGGTCTCAAACTCCAAATGATCCTCCTGCCTCAGCCTCCCGAGTGCTGGGATTACAGGTGTGCACCACCCACACCCAGCTAAAGGTATAATCTTTAGAGTGCCTCTGTCTTGGCCAGTAGGCTAGTCCTTTTATACTATCTTCAATTTTTCTGTGCAAATGCCTCCTGAAGACTGGTTACCTGCTTGCTTTCATGTAGCACTCCAAACATTCCAGCTCTTCGCAACATTTGCTGAGCTACAGTTGCCTCCCTATGACTTAAACCGATTTTGTTGGGGCTGGGGATTTAGCTCAGTGGCATAAGCACCTGCCTGGCAAGTACAAGATCATGAGTTCGATCCCTGGTACCAAAAAAAAAAAAAAAAAAAAACTGATTTTGTTTCCTGCCACCCTGGATTTAAATGATGTTTTCTCTGGTGTCTTACAGAGTAGCAGAGTTGTGTGTGGGCTCTGGCATGGGACCACTTTTGTTCTTCCCACTTTCAGCAGCCAGCATACCAGCTCTCTGACTGTTAGCAAATGACTTAATCTTTCTGAACCTCAGTTTCTCGCCTGTCATGGAGATGTCGATGACCCTGACGACTTCAGTACCATTGCTGTAAGGATAAAAATCAGATAACCAGTGGAGAATTGTCTATGGTACAAATAGGTCATATTTGAGTATTCAGCAAACCACAGCTACTGAAATTATGTAATAGGCTGTGCATTTCTCCAAGGAAAAACCTGGGTTTTATTTATCATGTTTGCATAGCATGGAGTCTGGCTGAATATTTAGTACAAATAAAAATAGATATTTACTGGAGGACTATACAATTAACTAACAATAGCTCTATTCCAGCCTAAATCTCTATATAGGCTTTTGAGTCTATGACAACCTTCCTATAAAAACCTACTGCTCATCTGTTCCTCTACCTCACTCACCATGTAGCCACTGTCTAGAAATTCCGTCCTGAAATTCTCAGCTTTTCTTTGGGGAACCTCAGCTCAAGGCGAAGGTCACAAGACCCTATTTGAGAAGTCGCTGTGATGTGTCCTTCAGTTTTCTTGTAGTCAAACTTGTAAAGTCATCATACTTTTGATTTGCTGTGGGTTACAGGGTAAGGACCTGTGGGTTACAGCCTGCCAGAGGGCTGGGGGCTGAGAGATTTACACAAAGAGTTAGCAAAGCAGAGAGAAAACTGACGAGGGGAAATAAGGGAAGGATGGCTGCGTGGGGAGCAGACACAGATGGGGATGAAGGGGACTGTGGGAGCCAAGGCTGGGGAGATAGGGCCTTCAGGGATGTCAGCCACAAACTGAAAGCAAAAAGTGGACCAAGACAGAAATGGCACTGCCAGGGAATAAAGGTGCTAGGCAAAACTGGAGTAGCAAGCACTGCGCTGTTCCAGGGGCACTTTTCTCACATATCTACTGGTGCCCATCCTAGTCAGGAGCTCAGCCTGGTGAGCGGTGAGCGCTGCCCAGGTCTCAACGCAGTGCTCCAGTTCCTTTAAAGCTCAAATAGTTCAAACGCTGAGATGAACACATCAGGTTCCACATTGGTACACAAGTAAAAACGCAGATGGACAAATTTTGACTTTACATTTTTTTTCTTCTAAAAATCCATTCGCATGAGCCAGGGAGCGTGGGAGTGACTCTAGGGTTGGCTACCTTAGGGCCCTCCTTTGCTAGGAGCTCTCTCCTGACACTGCCCAACTTTCCTCCCACCACTGACACACAGGGTGAATGTCAGGGTGTACCCTGGAAAAACAGCAGCAGCAGGTCGAGCACTGGGCGCAGGCTTTCGCAGAAGGGAGTAGAAGGGGCGAGCACCGCGGGCAGGCCTTTGCAGAAGGGAGTAGAGGGCGGCGGCGGAGGGGGGTGGGGTGGGGTGGGGTGCAGGATTGCTTGCTTGTTTGTTTCCTGGAACACCTTGTTAAGAATCTCAACAATTGCAGCTAGAGCTCTATCGTTTGGCAAGCAGAACTCTCCTAGTCGCTCACAGCCGAGCGGGATCTAATTCACTTAACACACCATCTTACATTCAGCACTTCAGCGAAAAACAAGCAGTCTGGGAGGAAGACAGGCGGTCTAACTCTGCACGCCCGACCATTCCGGGGACGCCTTGTGAGTCCCAGTCCTTTGACTGGCTGGTGCCTGTCCGCTGGGGACTTCCTTGCACCCGGACCTTCTCGCACCACGGTTCCAGAAAAACTCGGGCGGAGGGTAACGCTGCAGTTAAATAAGGGATCTGGTTGGGCCTTAGGCCTCGCCAGTATAAAAAAGAGTAACTAAAATCTGCAAGCCCTCAGATTTTAAAAGGAGATAATTGCTTATTCTTGTCACTGGAAACCTGGTGAAAAGAAATGAAGGCCTCTCTTAAAGGTAACTAAGATTAGAGGGCTCGGTTTCCGTTTTCCGTGGGCCGAACGCCCAGGCTGGTTAGCGAGTTTCTCTGTACGGAATGACGAATTCCTGTCGCCTGAATTCTAAAATGATAACTTTGCTTGGTGCTGCAGCTGCGAATGTCTGGAGCGCCAAGAGACCCAACCGTGGTCGTGGCTTTGCAGAGGAAGAAGCTGGGGGGAGGGGGGTGGGGGATGAAAAGGGCGAAGAGCCATGCCTTGGCGAAAAGTCGGGAGAACTGGGAAAAGGGAAGTAACGGCGGCTCCTCCCGGCCTCGGCCCCTTTAAGTGCTCCACTGACTCAGCTCTAAGCTTTCCCCTCAGGTCGCGTTTTTTATGAATGAAAAACGTCCTTACATTCATTATATAAACAAGCCTGTGCTGATTGGCCAATGGTCCCCGGTGCATAAATTATGTAAAACTAGACCCTCAAGGGGGTGGAGAGAGACCCACAATCGACCAATGGAGGTCGGAGTTGGTGGGGCGGCTCGGTTGGATTTGCTCGAAGACAGGGTAAACAAGAGGTGATGGACGGCCGCGGGAACGGCCTCCGGCCAATGGGAATCAGGCTAGGTTGGGGCCTTGAGCCAATGGCGGCAGGCGGAGCAGCGGGCCGCGGGGGGCCGGGCCAGCGCTCCAGCCTGGTTGGCAGCTGCGGCGCAGAGTCCAGCCGCTGGTGCGCGGAGCAGTTCGCTGTCTCCGGAGCGGTTCGGCCCAGCCATTCGCCTAGGCGCCCAGGCCCGGTGCGCGCGTGCGTGAGCGCGCCTGCGCCGCCGGGGCCGCTGCCAGGGGGGAGGGCGGCCACTTCAGGTGAGGGGGCGTAGTGGGGGGCGAGTGCGGTATCATTGAAGGTATCCTGCAACGGGTCCCAAAGGCCCAGCTGGCGAGAGTTCACGGGCTGACCTGGAACCCTCAGAGTCGGTGTGCATATCTGGGGCGAACCTAGGGGACAGACTGCCCCCTTCCCCCACGGCCCGGTCCGGTTCGGCTCGTGGGAGGTGTCGGGCGGGGGCGGCTAACGGTTCCGGAGCGCGAGGAGCGCGGGTTTCCGCACCTCGCGGGGGAGGCGCGCGGGAGCACGGGGTGCGGGGCTCCGGGTGGGGACTGCGAGGCGCTGAGTCGCAGGGCTCCGGTCTCCTGAGAGCTGAGAGCCCCGAGGGGACTTGGAGGCTCGCGAGAAGAGACGCTTTGCAGTTGGGAGGAGGGGTCGGGAAGCAGTTAGAGGGGGAGTGGGGAGTGTTCGAGAGGCGCTGCCCCCCAGAACACCCAGAGGGGTTGGTTGACACAGGCATGTGCAGCCTGCGGCGTTGGGGGTCGACCAGCAACTTAGGTGGGTCTTGCAAGTTTCAGGCTGTGGAAAGTGGACACCAATCCCTCCACTCCCACCCCCGGTGGGATGAGGCGGTCGGGGTGCGCCACAACCCGGGAGAAAAATCAGGGAGCCCTGCACAGGGCCTGGGGGTATTGGGGAGAACGCGGTTGCGGAACGGGAACGCAGCAATGCCCAAGCCTCGCGCAGGATCGAGAATCTGGCTGCATTTTCAGAGGGGAGGGGGAACTCCTGGTAGAGAAGGGGGTGCATAGGAGAGATGCTCGGGGTGGGGGGGTGTGAATTGGAAGCGGCTGGTTGCTCCTGGCGCAGCACCTCGTTTTTATGAATGTGGGTGACTTTATGAATGAAGCGGGTTTCTTTCGCTGGCTGTGTTCCTTGCGGCTTTTTTTTTTTTTTTTTTTTCCTCCTTTCCCTTTTCGTGAATGAAGCATTGAGCTTTCTTCCTAAAACGCTGGGGTGAGGGGACTGCGTTGGAGGCTGGGCCTTCGTTGGGAGTGGGGGCGGGGGCGCAGCCGAAGGAGTTTTCATGAATGGGGAAGGCTGGGAATTGGGTAGAAGTGTGTCTTGTTTTGTGAATGGGGCCCAGCGCGAGGGATCCAGTTACAGCCTCTACCTGATGTGGCGTCCGCGGCTCGCTCTCCCATTCATAAAACCGGGCCCGCTGCGCGCCACGGGGGAGGGGCCTCGGTCGCACCGCCGCGCAGTGTTAAAGTTTTCCTGGGGGCACCCGCGAGGAGGGGGGGCACAAAGGAAGTAGTTTAAACTTCTGGATGCACCCGAGCCTGCCCTCCAGGTTTAAAAAAAAACAAAACAAAAAAAAAAAAACTTTGAGCGCAGTGTTTTTAGCCCTTGAACTGTGAGAGCTTCGTTTATAGATCTCCGATGTTTCTTTTGGATTTGCTTACGGCAATGTCTTGAAAAAATTTAAGATATTTTTGCTCTTCTGGGTGAAGTGTTTCATCATGAGGCTGAAAATATCTCTCTGGTCTCCTACTCGTTGCCCACCCTCCGATGTTTTTTACAGAATTTCTGAGGCTACGATTTAATCAGAGATTTTCGTGGACGACAGAGAACTCTTTCATGCCCTCAGCTCCCTGCTAAGGTTTCTCAGATTTTGTAATCGGGTTGGAGACCATTTGAGAAAGAGACTTTATTCTGAACCTTTTTTTATTTGGAAGGCAGGCAAGCTGGTAGGAGTGTTTTTCTAGGAAGTTATGAGCTGTGCTATTTCGCTCCCCTCCTTTGATTTTGAAAATATCTGACTACATGGGCCAAGTGCTGAAGAGGAGGCTGACCATGAAGGACTTTGTTGTATCCTGCTAAATTATGAAAATTTGATATACCCCACACAGTGTGAAAAACAAATTGGATGGAATTGCCCACTGGAAAAAGGTTTCCTATTTAAAAATTGTGTGCAAGTTAAACAAAAGAAATTACCTCTTAAGTATTTTACATTACTTAGAGCTAGGGTAAGTGCAATCAGTGGTTTTTCTTTTTTTGGTTGACATACCTCCGTTTTTATATGAGGGTTTAAACATGTTTAGGGATGATATGGTACCTTACTGAAATTGCTACTTTATTATTACTACTACTACTACTGTTAATATTATTATTATTACTTTTTTGGTGTCGCGGATTGAACTCACGACCTTGCATTTGCCAAGCAGGCAATTACACTGCTGAGCGTAACCCCTGCCCCTATTTTATTCTTCCAAATTAAAAAAAATTCTGTCCTCTCCCTTGACCTCAGCTTCTCTTTCTGGCCACTACATTTAGCAGTCCTGATAGGAGTTGTTGGGTGTTTCTGTGTGTGTGCACACGTGCACGTGCGTGTGCATGTGTCTGGGAAATTTGACTTCACTGTAGGAAACAAACTGAATTTTCTTTCCATGCATCGTTTATTTTTACTGGCTTTTAAAAAGGCCTTTAAAATACAGTGGAATTTAGTTTCCCTTTATCCATTATTTTTCATAGATCTTTTATTCTGCTAGAGACTTGAGATATCACAGATAACTAGGTTGCCATGGAGATATTTGTGACATAGGCATACACCTGTTTGGACAGAAGGTTAGTTTTAAATAAAGAATTTCTATGAACAAAATATACTTCTGATAATATATTCCTGGAACTCTACATAATTTTTTTTATCACTGATTTACAAAATACTTTTAGATTCTGTATTGTCAGATTCTTAATTACCAATACCTTAGTTTCTCAACTTACTGTCAAAAATTAAATTACCTCTTTTTTAAAAAATGTACTGCACATGCCCTGGAGGATCTTCTGTAGAGATTCTGAAAAATCACCTTTTGCGATGAAAATAAGATGATTTTGGGGGGTTTTTGTTGTTGTTGATAAGGGACGGTCAGTATCAAAAATCGGTAATCTTAATGATCCTTTTCCCCCAGAAATTACTCAATGCTGAAACCTTTCAAAGCGATATTAGACACATTGGAAGCACCATGGATGGGTTTTACGACCAGCAAGTCCCTTTTATGGTCCCAGGGGTAAGTTCACTCAGCTTTTGCTCTATTTCGTCCTCTCCTTTCCAAGTCATCTTACTGTCTCAGCCTCTTCACTACACTTCAATCTTCTGTCTGTGATGGCCTCTTTTAGAAATCGCGATCAGAGGAATGTCGAGGGCGGCCTGTGATTGACAGGAAGAGGAAGTTTTTGGACACTGATCTGGCTCACGATTCTGAAGGTAGTGAAGCTTCTCTCTGCTATCTTGAGCCTTCCTCAGATCCCTTGGTGACAGTGGTGTGTAGACCCTTCCCCCCTCTTCTCCCTAATAGAAATATCCTCATTCTGAGCTCTTCTGTTTTCAATTTCAGAATTGTTTCAGGATCTCAGTCAACTTCAAGAGGCTTGGTTAGCTGAAGGCAAGTGTCTTGGCTGTCCTGTTTTCCATATAAAACATTTTACTGTTCCTTTTAATAAAACTTAAAGGTCTAAAACAACAATCTCTTTTCCAGCACAAGTTCCCGATGATGAACAGTTTGTCCCAGATTTTCAGTCTGATAACTGTAAGTACCTTTCTCGCTGTGACGGCGGTCGCTCCGAAATTGTTGGGTCTTGGTTCAACCCACGTCTAGAATCCACTTCAGTTGTAGCCAGCAGATTTCTACGGTGATGTGCATGTAGTTTCTCTGAATAATTCAGGGGTAACCCTGAACATTTTTGTTTCATTCATTATTGAAATTACTTTTAAAGCAGTTCTAGTCTGTTTCAGGCAAGATTTAACTGACTATAGTTTCATCTTAAATTTCTCTTTAAGTATATTGCAATGCTTTAAGCTCAAAATTATAAATTAACATGAGCTGGGCCGAAAGTCTATTAATGGTGTTTTCTATGGCCTCTTTTATTCATAATTCAAGTCTTTGATGTGAGTGATGAATCTGCCATTTTTCTCTCTCAAAGGTGCAGAAGATAGTTAATGGAAAATTCCAGTTAATTGTGGTTTTACCTAACATGTTGTCAGTTTTGTTCCTTCTAAGCTTAACAAAGGGCTGGTCACAGAGTAACCTGATTTGTTGTTATTCTTCATGCTGTTGCTGGGACTTTGCTCCTCAGAGAAGAGTAAAACCTTTTCTTCAGCTAGTCATTAGGTGCTCATTACTTGAGATAATAAAATGAAAGGAGCAGCTGCAAAGATGGCTCTTGGCGCTGGCGGGCACAGTTAGCTTTACCGGATCTTTTGAGGCTGTCCTCAACAGGTTTGGGAGCTTTTATGGTCCAGGCAGAGCAGAGCTATCAAGGACAAAGCCGGCTGATGAAATTTGAGCAGCACAGGGCTGCTCTAGAGAACATTAGTCACTGGCGAATGAGCAGGTTTAAGAGAGGCCTGGAGAAAATGCTGCCTCTCTTGAGGGTTGCATCATAGAGAAATTCATGTTTCTTAGTCATAGTTTATAATAGCAAGCACCTGAGGCAGGCAGGGATTCGATGTCTCATTTTTCACTAACAAACTCTTCCCAGCTTTGTTTCATCCCTGGTGGGGTGCACCCATGTGGGTGAAAATGTCACTGGGAGAGAGGATATTTGGGTCTAAGTAATAGCTGGGTACTCCAGATCTATTAAATGAAAGAAGACAGGAACCAGCTAAACATTCTTTAATGATAGACCTCATGTCCAAGGCACAATGCCATGAAACTTTAAAAAGAATTGACTAACCCACGGATGCCTGCTTACCTTAGCTTTGTCACAGCTTGCTGTGGTGTTTTGTGCAGAAAGCAAACGCTTGTTAATTGTTGCTCTTTGATTGCTTTCAAGTGATTGGGAAGTTTGCCACAGAAAAACTAAATAAAGATAACCTAAAGAGCGTGTGTGTGTGTGTGTGTGTGTGTGTGTGTGTGTTTGCAAGATGAAAGATGGAATTTATCATCTAACTTTGTTCTGTTGACAATTTGGCCCATTCCTTTCAGTTCTTGCTCAGAGCAGCATAAACTGCAGTCTGTTTGGGAGGTAGCTTTCTTGGCAGAAGCTCTTTGAAATGTTTTTATGACACGTTTGTTTGTTTCTCTGTAACTCAAAAGAGTTAAGAAGGGAGGTGACATGGATGTGTTCAGATTGACTGCATGTGTTGAAGCAAGGGTCTGTTCTTTAAAGAAAGATGTCAGCAAACAGGATTTGTATTTAAAAGACATATTTTTATCTGGGGGAATAGACCAAGCAAAGAAATCAATAAATGTATTTTGGCTCCTTAGAAATTATTCCTGCTTAGCAAATAGAATGTGCTAAATTCTTCAGTTAAAACGCCATACCTTAAATAGAGGTGCTTTGGGAGATGTCCTTGCCTACAAAGTGTGTGGTTTTTTGTTTTTGTTTTTTTTAAAGTTCATTTGCTTTTTGCTTTAATTGCTTAAGGTTGAGCTTTTCTAGATTTTATGGATAAGACATATGGGCTAGGAATTAGTAACTTTTTCCCCCTCTGACTGTGTAACTCTTGAGGTGGAGCTTGGAGAAGGATAGCTCCATACGGGTAGGCTGACTTGTCTGAAAGCTTAGGCAGGGGTAACAGCGGATGGTAAGGGTGCAGACTGCAGCCATTTCATTCAGCCTGGGGTGTTCCCTGCAGTTCTGACCCACAGGGAAGCCAGGAAGGAGCTGGTGGAGTCCACACCTGCATCCTCTTACTTCTTATGGCACTTTTCATAGTCTTGTGTGGAAGACCAGCTTCCACTCCAGTCATCTTCTGGAAGATTCCATGATTAGTCCAGGGGAAGGAAAGAAATGGATTCAAGTTCAGCGAAGCATTATGCGTTGGTCTGGATCACACAATCAATGAATTCTACATCTGACTTACATTTGGCAGGGAGAGCAGCCTTTTTTTCTTCAGTATCAGAAAGCATTTGTAACAGATGCAGGTGTTCTTGTTACCAGTGACTACTGGTGATGGTATATCTCGTTAACAATGATTGGAGTAATTTTCCATCATGGATGCATGAGACGTGGTACATGAAATCTGAAAAAAGAGAAATACTAAGCCATGTGGATAATCGGTTTTATTCTAGAATACCAGTTTTGAAGATTATATATCCTTTTTTTTTGTAAATACTACACATTCAACTCCTAAAAAGACGATATTTTTATAAGCTTTCCAGATTTATAATCTCTGTCCATAAACATCCATCCATATGCATGGTTGGAATAAATGAAACCATTATGAGTCTTTCAGAAAAGCCCAGCTTACCTCTAGCTGTATAGGTTTTAAGGCTGCCTCGTAAATACAGGTATTTGTGAGATATTCCTTATCCTGAAAATTCAAGGGAACAGAAAGTTCACCCTGTGTACCATAGGCCAGGGCTCTGCACTGTTTCCTGGTCCTAAGAAGTAAACCTGACATCCCAGATGGAGCTGGAAATGCCTTGTAGAGTGTCTTGGCTCATTACCCCACCCTCAGTGTTATGGAAAAGATAATACAAGGCCCAGAGAGCTGGAAGGGCTGACCAGTGCTTTAGGGGAAGATGGGAAACAGGCGAAATGAAATGAGAGGAAAAAATACCGTTAAAGTAAGAAGTTCTCACAAAGCTTTGGGTTCAGAGGCCACTGGCACAGCCAGGTGGGCTCCTAGCCCTCCGTTGTTATTTCAGACATCCGGTGATGACTCTCAGGAAAGCCTTGGTAGACAGGCTGGCCACCCAGTGTAACACTCAGTTTTCTTTTTTCTTTTCTTTTTTTAACACCTCAGTTTTCTTTCTCTTGAGATCCTGAGGAAATTACTATCTATTTATTTTTGTCTTTTGGAGACAGGGTCTTGCTATGCAGTTTCAGGCTGGCTTTGAGCTCACTTTTGTAGCCTAGGCTGGTCTCAAACTTGCAATGATCCTCCTGCCTCAGCCTCCTGAGTGCTGGGATTACAGGAGTGTACCACCACACCCAGCTGAAAATTACTATTTATTTCTGAGTTTTTCCATTTAGGATTTGGAAGAGAGTAAGAAATTGTGAAAGAGAAATACATTAAAACTAAGAGGTTTCCTTGAAGACTTTTTAGTATGTATGTATACAGATATGCAGGTGGAAATATGTATCCTGTGTATTTACAAGTGTGTGTATGTATATAAATTATCACATAGAGTTACTAAATTAGGTGGCCTGAGTCAGTGCATAGATGTTGTACAGTACTTGTTTACTGCACATTTTCATAAAGTCAACAAATCAGAGTCATGGAGATGAGAACGCAAGAGTGCTTTGCTGAAGGGGTAGGTAAGACATTACCATCATTTTCAGTTGACCGCCTGAGTATTTAAGGGTGTCTCACTAAATTTTAGCATATATGAAGAGCACTTTCTGAAACCACAGGTTTCAGTTCTAATTTTCAAAAAATCGTACTCATTTCCTTGGTGGTATCCCGAATAATTTCCTATCAGCATACTGAATAACTAAAATATTTTATACTAAGGAAGAGGGCGTGATAAAATCTTTCCTTAAAATTCTAGCCTCCATACCAAATGCAGTTTAGAGCATTGTTATAAAATCCAAGGGACCCCCTTTATCCCCTTGAAAAGGGTTCTTTTTTTAGGTCTGCATTTCAAAAAGAATGGAGCAGAGACTGGAGGAAGTAGGAGTAATTTCCTAAGGACCAGCTAATTAACTGATAAAATCTTTTCGCAAATACATTGCAATAGATGGCTGGGGAAATAGGATTAATTTATGACAGCACTTGAGCCTAAAGCATGTTGATCTTAATCCTGTGTCACTGTGAGATTATTCCACTGAATTGTATTTTCTTTTCCTAGGCGAGGCAGATACAGTAGTAGGGCGGTTAGTAAAGTCCCTTTCTTCCTGCCCCCGTTGTAGTGTAGCTGAGCTTCTTGTATGTTAGTTCTGTGGTCGAGGGCCATAGCTGTTGGAAAGGATACTCCTAAAGTCTTTGGGCAAGGTGATGAGCACCAAGCCCTTTGAAAAGAACAGGCCAGATGGAGGCAAGGCTGTTTATTAGTTTGTCCTTTTTAGGAGCCCGTAGCTCTGAAGATAGGGAAAAAGAAGAAGAAGAATGCTGAAGAGCGTGTGTGGAGAACAGAGGAGACAGGATTGGACTCGAGGTTTTGAGTGTGACCTGATGTCTTGGACGTAGATCCCTGTCTTGCCAGAGAGAGGATGCTAAGATTTGAAATTCTTTCCATCTTGACGTCCTCTGACATACTCACATCTGAGACTTTGAGGGGCTAAGACCTAGAGCACCCATTAATGTGAAAAAACCATGCATTTAGCAAAATATTTCCTCTAACTGTAATTCACGTAGGCTCATTTAAAACAGTGAATTTGTAAAAAAAAATTCTTCTTTTTGCTTTTTGTCCTCTTAATAAAACCCAGTAGCCTTTTCAGTCCTATCTATTTGGTGAGAAAGACTTCAGATGGAGAAATAATTTGTGTCTGCCAGACGGGTCACCTGTGTGGGTGCCAGAAGTTAAGAAATTGCTGGCATCAGTCAGGAAATCACCATTTATTTATTCCCTGCTATTTAGCATTCTAACCCTAATCCATTTTACTGGATTAAAACATAAGTACGGTGATAAACTGAAAA